ATTTAACAACACCAACAATGAGTATCATTGAAAGTCAACAAGACATCGTGATTTTTTTTTCTTTTCCTGCCATAAAACCTCACTAGCATTTAATGAAATTCACCCCAGGCAATCATTTTGCTTTCTAATTCTAGAAGGCAATACTATGCTCAACATAATCTTCTAGATTTTGATAAGGAAGTTTAAACTTTGTTTCATAGGTAAGCACAACAATAATCTAGGACATGGTTACATTATAACCCAAGACAGCATGTGTGTAAACTACCACGCACACCTCTGTTTACACATTCCCCCAGTCATCCAGAAACACTGAAGTTGGCAGAGAGATTTCTGATACGCCAGTCACGTGCCCTTCTCAGAACACTGTGGTTGTGAAAAAGCACAGGTGGAAGAACCAACAGTGAGATGTCAATCAGACGCTTGCAAATCAGTCTACACAAAAACTCATGGTACCGAAAAACCACTAGAGAGGTTGTTGTTGTTAAGTGCTGTAGAGTCAATTCTGACTCATGAGATCCTGTGTAGGTTGTCCAAGGTGCAGCTGGTGGGTTTGAACTGCCGACCTTGTGGTTCAAGCTGACCTTACAATCTAGTACACGCCAGGACTCCACCTTGCAGTTAGCAGTCCAGTATTTATGCTACAGCATCACACGAGGACTGTCATAAATGCACACACTTATATATCAATGGAGAAGAGACTGAAGTTGTCAAGGACTTCATTCTTCTTGCATCAACTGTCAACACTCGCGGAAGCAGCAGTCAAGAGATCAGACGTATTGCATTGGGCAAATCTGCTGCACAGGAACTTTTTAAAGTACTGAAGAGCAGAGATGTCAACTTGAGGACTAAGGTGCGCCTGACCCAGGCCATTGTGTTTTCAATAGCCTCATATGGATGCGAAAGCTGGACAGTGAATAAGGAACATCGTAGAAGAATTGATGCCTTTGAGTTGTGGTGTTGGAGGAGAATACTGAAAGTGCCATGGACTGCCAAAAGAACCAATAGATCTGTTTTGGAAGAAGTACAACCAGAGTGCTCCTTGGAGGCCAAGATAGCTAAGCTTTGTCTCTCCTACTTTGGACACATTGTCCGGAGAGAACAGTTGCTGGAGAAGGATGTCATGCTGGGTAAGGTGGAGGGTCAGAGAAAAAGAGCAAGACCCCCAACGAGATGGATCAGCCAGGTGGCATCATTGATGGCGTCAAGTGTGGCAGCGGTAGTGAAGTTGGCCCAGGATCGGACATTGTTTCGTTCTGCTGTGCATGGAGTCACTATGAATCGGTTCCGACTCGATGGCACCTGACAACAACAACATATATACCCCCTAAAGAGCTCTGGTAGCATAGTGGTTACTAGTCGGGCTGCCAACCTCAAGGTCAGCTGTTCAAAACTACCAGCGGCTCCGCAGGAGAAAGATGAGGCGTTCTGCACCCGTAAAGATTTATAGCCTCGGAAATCCTATGAAGGGTCACTATGAGTCGGAACCAACTCCACAGTACTTAACAACAACAACAACAACAACACATATACACCTGGGTCCTGGTGTGGCATTGAGGGATAATGCACTGGATTGCAAGGTCGATTTGAATTGCAAAGCTGGTAGTTCAAATCCACCAGCCGTTCCTCAGCCCTCTTCAGGGCTGCTATGAGTAGAAACTGATTTGATGGCATTTAACAACAACAACAAATACATACCCCGGAGTCCAGGTGTGGCACTGTGGGATAAAGCACTGGACTGCAAGCTCAGTTTGAACTACAAGGCCAGTGATTCAAACTCACCAGCCGCTCCTTGGAAACCCTACATAGGAGTTAGAATTTATAACAATATACATACTCCACATGATGCAGGAAACTGCATTTTATAAAGACAGACATCAATAGAAGGACTGTTGAGGACAACCCCAACTATACAAGATTCTGCATAGAGGAGCTTGACACAAGAGCATCAGTGAAATAAAAAATAAATAAAAAGGCAGCCGTTTTTATTCAGATAGCAAAAGAGCAGCAGATTCCAGAGGCTGAACGGTAGCCAGGAATAGCATAGCCTAACTCCAGTCATTTTAAGGAAGGGCAGGATAACATTCACCAAAGATTCCCTGCAATGGGCCCCCAGGTTGAGACACAATTGTGTTCTATAAGTCAGTTAACAAACACAGTACTGTATATGCTGCATGTTCAGGGCTTTGCTAGTCATTTGCAGAGAAATGAGCAAACCTTTGTAAAGCATATATATGCTGGGCACTATGTTCACACCTTTACCCCACAAGAGGTTAGCATATTCCCTACTTTACATATCAGAGGAGTGAGGATGCCATAGGGCCACAGAACTGAGTCAGGTTCTGACCCCAATTCTGCTGACTTTAGAGTTTATGATACCATATTACCATGCATTAAGTATGGCTCCTGTCCTATAGAGGATTAAAATGAACTCAACCAAGGAGAGACCAGTACAGCCAATATAATGAAGAGCCGACAAGCAAGTTATCTTAGAAATTTAAAGGAAAATTATACATAATACAGAAGCAATTATAAAACAAGTCGATTTTAGGTTCCTCCTTGGAGGATGGGTAGAATTTGGATAGGAGAGGGGAAAGAAGAGGGCAAGTTTCTAGGAAGAACTATAAATGCCATGCAAATGAGCCCAGTTCCTTGGCAGTGTACCAGGAAGACAGAACTGTGTAAGCACAGGGCTCTAATGGCTGAACTGAAAATTTGGTTTACTTAGGAAGGGTGAGGTCTGATTATCAAATATTTTGAAAAATCAAGACAATTATTTTAAGTATTGAGATAGTTGACCATGAGTAGGAATTGAAGGTCTCAAGGCAAGGAGAGACAAAAGGATACAATCATTAAAAAAATTAAATCGACAACAGCATGCTGATCAGACTATAGTGGGGAGCAGTCTGATTCATTCATTCAACAAATATTTAATTAGGGCTTACCAAGAGCCAGGCTTGGGAGACCATCTCTGAGGCAGCTCTAGTACTACAGAGAAGAAGGGCAAGGCCCAGCATTAGAATAGAGGGAGGAGTCTATTCACAGTACATTTCAAAGGTCTTGATGAGTCACTGATATGTAGGATGAAGGAGATGGTTAAGGTTAAATTCCAGAGTTTCAAGATTGATACTACTTCTACCTTTACTTGTTGACTCATAGTCATAGCTTCCAAAGAGCGGCTGGTGAGTTTGAACCAGTGACCTTGCAGTGCAAACAGACCTTGTGTCCAGAGCATTATCCTAGAGCACCACATCAGGACTCCATCTTTACTTGTAGTTGTTGTTAAGTGCGTTGAGTCAGTTCCAACACATAGCAGCCTTGTACAGGGCTTCCAAGGAGTGGCTGATGAGCTTGAACTACCGACCCTGCAGTTTAAACTGAACTTGCAGTGCAGCACACATTAACCCTCAGCTTCACACCAGGACTCTTATTAGGTTCCTCAGGAAGTGGTGTTGGTTCCGACCCATAGCGACCCTGTACAGGGTTTCCGAGGCTATAAATCTTTACAGGAGCAGAAAGCCTCATTGTTCTCCCATGGAATGGCTGGTAGTTTTGAAAGGCTGACTGTGAGATTAGTAACTCTCCTCTTAACCAGTATGCTACAAGAGCTCCTTCCTCAAGCAAGAAGCAATAAGAGCAAAACGATTAAAGTAATTTTTTTTGAAAGGCGACAACTTTGATGATGCCAAATAATCATCATTTTTTATCCTGGTAGCTCATTTTGCACATAGTCTGTAGGTGAGAGCTGTTAGTGATTAAAAAGAAAACCCCGACATTTCATTGGGACTAAATGCTGAGGTTTCTTGGCAAGGTTTACAGGGGTCTCACTACTCAGCCTCATCAATCCTCCAGCACAGCTTTCCATCATCTGAAGAGATGTGGCTGCCTCACTTACCAAGCTACCAGTTCTGACTTTGGAGAAGGGGATAAAGCATCCTGAATAGGGGGAAACAAAAAGTGGGCAGGGCCACTGTGACTTTTCTAGAAGCACCGGTCCTCAAGTAGAAAGGCCTTCAACACTATCAAATTACAGTGCTTTGTTATGGAAATATTTGAAATGTGCATATGTATGTACACATTGACTCCTAGAACAGACAGAATATGGCTGAGTCATAAATTCTTCTTAATAATTTATATGTTGACTCCTTAAAATTAAAGCTTATTTTAATTGTATATTCAGCAATGGTACAGTTCACTATTGAGGGTATATCCTTCCTACAAACCCACTCACTGAGACATATGAGAAATGAAACCTGTAACTATCAAACTTCTATTGCTACAAAGAATACTCCAGGGCAAAATCACAAACCCTAACACCCACCCTACCTTAAAGCAATCATCCCAGCATACAAAGTCAAGGTGGCATTTGCACAGCATAGTCCAGCTTTGGCAAAAGCAGATTTTGATTTAATTATAAGTGGAAATGAATGCTCTTTTGTGTAGAAAGTGCATTAAACTACTTGAAATATACACCTAAAATTAACCTTTAATGTTAAAGTGTCATAGTCAAAACTTTAAAAGGTACATTCAGAAGAAACGGTTGTTCTAGAAAATCTCTCAACATCCCTCTTATAACATCTACTCAGACTACTAAGAAAGAAAGAAGACCATAAAGAAATCCAGTGGAAAATGGTTGCACTTAAGAGTGTGAAGATTCTTGCTCAGACCCTTTGCGGGACAGCCAAGGGCCTACTCAGGAAAATTCCAAGAGCAACTCAACAGACCCCCAAATGGGGTTTTCAAATCAGGCTAAGATCTTTCCCCTTTTTAAAGCTAAACGGTAAACACCCACTACAATCTCACAGACTCCCAGAAACGGGAGATTTCATGCCAGAAGGGAGACATCCACAGGACCACGAAAAGAAACTACAGCCCATTAACCGCTTCCTCCCCTCAGATCTTTTGCGGAGTCACCAGCCAGGAATCCCTCTGCAGCTCCAGTCCATCATCTCGAGTGACAGGTCGCTCGACAGAAGCCCCTAAATCCTTGAGCCCCCACTTACTGGTGCCGCGATCGCAGGCTGGGGCCCGCCCCTGCGGTGAGTGCAGCTTCTCGGCGAGTAGGGCGCCGCAGGCACTCGGGAACTAGAAATGAGCACGATCCCTGCTAGGAAAGGCCAAGCGGTCCTTGCAGGGACGCCCGGGAAGTCCAGAGAGTCGTTCGGGCCGTGGGGCGCATGGCAGTGCTGCAGGAACCCGGCCGCTTTCCAGCCTCCAGCAGGAAAACAAACAAAGACTGGGTGGCTTCTATTGAGGACAAACGGCCGCTTTCCCTAGGAAAACTTACCCTGCAGCTCCCCTCGCTGGCACTGCGCGTTCCTGCAACCGGGCCATGCATGGAGTCGCAGAGCCGCTCTGAGCGCTCTTCGCAACGGGCCCGAATACAGCCCAAAGAGTTGGTATCCTGTGTTTCCCGTGTGAAGATTCAGAAATGGAAGTTGGATGCTTGCTCTGAGGGCATCTAATCAAAGGCAACCATGGTGAGAACATTTTTCTGATTTTAAAAAATACGCAACTCTTTACCTGGTAGCGTTCGTTTGAACTCAAAGAGTTTTTATGTTATTAGCGACTTTAGATTGGAGGATGAGATTGTTATCTGTGTGGGAAACTGACTAGTTATCTGCTTACACAATTGTACTTCTGTGTGTAACTAGTTATATGAACACAAGGTAATTTTAAAACACATTCATTTATGTCATAAATGCTATTGGAAATATTACCTTAAATCATCCATATAATAACCAGCTTCAAAACTTTGAGGGGCCAAGGTTCTAAACTTTTATCATGAGACACCAAAATCACCAGGAGCCCTAGTGTGGCGCTGTGGGTTAATGCGCCAGACTGCGAAGCTGTTTGAACTACAAGGCTCACCAGTTGCTCCCTGGAAACCCTATACAGGGTCTCTATGGGTCGGAATTGACTCGATGGCACTTAACAACAACAACAACCCAAATCACCCGAGGGTCTTTTAAAATACAGATTCCTAAAACCTATCCTGGTCAGTGAATAAGGAAGACCGCAGAAGAATTGATGCTTTTGAGTTATGGTGTTGGAGGAGAATATTGAAAGTGCCATGGGCTACCAAAAGAACCAACAGATCTGTGTTGGAAGAAGCACAGCGAGATGGTCAAACTTCATCTCTCATACTTCAAACATATTGTCAGGAAGGACCAGTCGCTGGAGAAGGATATCATGCTTAGTACGGTGGAGGGTCAAAGAAAGAGGAAGACCCCCAGCGAGATAGATTGGCAAAGTGGAAGCATCTATGGGCTCCAATGTGGCAACAATTGTGAGGCTGGCCCAGAACCGGGCAGTGTTTCATTCTGTTGTGCATAGCGTTGCTATGAGTCGGTACTGACTCAATGGCACCTAACAACAACAACAACAAAGACCCATCCTGAAAGTTTCTGGTGTTGATGCTGGCCAGGAAACCACACTTTGGGAACCACTTCAATTAATATGGCAGTAAACCTTTTATTATAGAACTGACTTAGTCCCACCCTTTAACATGGAAGAAAGGGTTGGCAATCTACTTCCAAAAACTTCGACAATGAAAACCTTATGGATCACAACAGTCAAGTCCAGCTGTACATAAGATTGCCAGGAGTCTGGGGCAGCCATTAACAACAACAACCCTTTAATACATTGTGGATTCTTCTCTGAATTTAAATATCCCAACTCTTCACTATATCAATTTTTCTATCACTATTTAAAATGTTTTGTTCTATGGCTGTGGCCAATGAAAATACAAAACCCTCATCAACAAAAAGATAGGGAGGCAAGAAGGACCATATCTTACCATCCCCAAATTCTTAAGGTCTAATACTAACTATATATACTAAGGAGCTCTGGAATCATAGAGATTACAAATCAGGCTGTGAACCGCAAGGTCAGCAGTTTGAAACTACCAGCTGTTCTGCGGGAGAATGATGAGGCTTTCTGCTCCTATAAAGATTTACAGCCTCGGAAACCCTGTACAGGGTCGCTATGGGTCAGAACCGACTCCACGGCACTTAACAACAACGACAACAATATTAACCAAGGACTTCTAGTGTTGCACTGTAGGTCAGCAGTTCAAATCCACCAGTTGTTCCTGGAAAATCCTATACAGGGTCGCTATGAGTCAGAGTTGACTAGATGGCACTTAACAACAATAACAATATTAAGTAGTACTGGTGTGCTGTTGTTGGATAAGGCAAGATCAGTTTGAACTGCAACATTGTTGGCAATTCAAATGCACCAGCTCCTCCTTAAAAACGCTGTACAAAGCTGTAGAGTTGGAAACTTTCCACGGCACTTAACAACAACAATAATACTAAGACAGTGCTGTGGCTCTGTAGGATCAGCACTGGACTGCTAACTGTAATATCCTTTGGTTCGAGCCCACCAGCTGCTCCGTAGAAAAATGATGTGGGTTTCTGCTCTGGCAAAGATTTATGGCTTCGTTATAAACACTCGACTATGAGGTCGGTTTGAATCACAAGGCTGGCAGTTCAAACTCACCAGTCACTCCTAGGAAACCCTGTACAGGGTCACTATGAGTCAGAATGACTTGAAAGCACTCAACAGACACAAACCCTGTATAAGGTCCCTATGAGTTGGAACCAACTCAGTAGCACTTAACAACATTACCAGTTAAAGGACCCCTGGTGTTGCAGTGGCTAAAGAGCGCAGCTGCTTCCCAAGTTCAAATTCACCAGCTGCTCAGTGGGAAAAAGATGAGGCAATCTGGTTCCACAAAGAATTTTTCAAAACACAAATCAAGTTCACTGTTCTCAAGTTGGATTCCACCTCATCCAGCCCTGGATATCCTATGGGCAGTTCTACTCTGTCCTATTGGGTCACTAGGATTGGAATTGACTTGCTAGCAATTGGTTTGGAATATTAACTGTTCCCATAAAAGGCAATTTAAAAAAAATACTTAATTTTTTTAGTTTTACTTAGTCAAATTAAGCTGTACAAACAAGTATACCTGGAAAATATAGGGACTGTCTTGGTTTACCTGTAGCAGGTGTTCAAAACCAAACTGACAGCCATCCAGTGATTCCAACTCATCAGAACCCAAAACAGGGCTTCCAAGACTCAAAACCTTTGTGGGAGCAGACACTCTCATCTTTCTCCTACAGAACTGCTGACTTTTGTTTGGCAGGCCAATGCCTAACCCTTAGTGCCACCAGGGATCCATAACAAGAGTTCACTGGGCTATAAATTTTTATAAGAGGGAAGTTCTGGCCTTGGGAAAATTATAACACTAAATATAATAAGATCATATTTGTATAACCCAGTAAAGAGGTCTAGTGGATACAAGGGAACTAATCTAAAATAAAAAATTAGTAGCTCTGAAGTAAAAATGTTTTAATAAAGTATGTGCTCAATTTATCTTTAGAAGTGTTATTATTTTATTAGGCATTATTATTTAATTACTAGCTAGAATAACGAAAAATCATTTGTACTAATTGACCAGGATATCTTGAATTAGCATTAAATAGGTTAAAAAATAGATTAGAAAATATTTCAACACCCCATTCTTCACTTGCAGAACTGATCATTTGCTCTCAAGGGTCACATTTATCATTTTCATTTATCTAATCACATTTATCTAATCCTTCCCTGCAATTTAAATTTCAAAATCCGACTTTAAATAGGTCATTGAAGGAAATCATCCTTAAAAACTCTATTAAGCATAATACTTTTTATAATATTATTCTATCTCTTAAGGTGCATCGGTCCCAACAGCCAGAATGCTCCGTAAAGGGGAGGATAACAAGACTTGTCTCATGTACTTTGAACATGTCCTCAGAGGGATCAGTCCCGTCAGAGGACATCATGTTTTGTAAAGGATCGGCTAAAAAATAGGAGTACCCTCAACATGATGGGTTGACACAGTGGTAACAACAAAGGCCTCAAATATAACCATGGTGAGGATGGCGCAGCAACCGGTAGTGTTTCCCTTTGCGTGTGGAGGGTCACTATGAGTTGACTCCAAGGCACCTAACAAGTCTATATTGTTTTGTGTTGGTCTTTTTCTTTCTTTCATTTTTGCATCCATTGCCCCGCTGAGAATGCGCTTCACTTCTAAGCTTTCCAAAATAAAATAACAGGTTAGAGATTTAAACGTTGTGAGCTCCTTGAATGGGGGGTTTGGGAATTGCGTTAGTGCCTGGCAACTAGAGAAAAAAAAATTAGATACTCAATATATGTTTGTTGAATAAAAGTTAGAGGCTATGACGACTTTGAGTTTTCATGTAACCTACAAACTTCCGTATTTAAAAAATGTTTTAAGTGTGGAAAAATAAAATGAGAGAACCATCCGTTGAAGTACAATGAGGCATTTGTACACTTGGGCTTTAAAAGGTGGGATGAGAACTGTGTGTAAATTTCAGCGCGCAGGCCAGTGGACTACAAATCCCAGAGAGCCATACGATTACTATCTCCGCAATACCGGGGTTTTGGGGCCTGGGAGCTGCACTTTCCTCCCCTGTTAAACGATGGGCTTTGTAATGATACCGGCCTCACGTTGAGCTCAATGGTCCCTGTGCCGCCCTCCTAAGTCTATCTTTATCAACCCCTCGGACTCGATCTGTGCTCTCAAAGAGTTGAATCGTTCATAACAGTCTGTCCCTATTTTGAAGTCGCACTGTTTGCTCGCACTCTTAGTGTCAGAGTTGGCAGGAAGCGTGAGGCTACTGTCTCGAATTCCCAGTTTAGTGCTCCTTGGGGCGGCTTGCAGCACTAAATCTGAGTTTCAACATTTTTGAGGTGACACGTGTTCAAGTTTGCATCGGCCGTGTCCACCACAGGTGCGTTTAGTTTGGACTTCCGAAAAGTGGTACCTTCACCTGGCGCGTACCAGATCTACGCCCCTCTACCTACCACTAAACGGCGGGTGGGCCGTGGCGGCACTGCGCATGCTCCGTGCGCCGGCGCAGTTGTCCGCAGCAGAGAGGACAGCTCCGCCGCGGTGTTTGGCGTCTCCATTAGGGCCGAAGCTCCCGTACTCCCAGTTCTCCGCCTCGGTTGGCAGCGGGCACCCCTCTGCTTCCCAAGTCCCCGGCCGCCGCCAGCGCGCCCCAATCTGGCTCCCCGCCCCACGAAAATGGCAGCCGTACGCCGGGCCCGCAGTTACTGCCGCTGCCTGGTGCGCTTCTCCGACCGAGAACTCTGCTAAGCCCCTCTGCATCTGACAAGCAGGAGTAGACAGACACTCGGACACCCAGCACCCCTCCCCAGAGGGGGCGGTGCAGAGGGGAGCGGAAAGCCCCTCAACCGCGGCCGACCGGCCCAGCCAGCATGGTAACCTGGGGAGGGGCTAGGGAGTACACTGGGGTGGGGGTGGAGGGCCTGGCGCCAGGCCTGGGAGAGCAGGCAGGGAAGACTAGGGATGGGAGATGCACGGCCACCCCCATACAGGCACCCCTGACACCAGAGAGTATGAAGGCGTCTGACAGAGCCCTAGTCCTTCCTGCTGACCCTCCCTTCCTCCCCCTAAGCTGGGAGAAGAGGACAGAGTTTAGTGATAGCCGGTAAAGCGCTTCTTCTGGACCCACTGAGGATAATGAGCCAGTCTCTTAAGGGTTTTATCCAAAGGAGTGAGCACAGATTGCATCGTGGCATCTGAAATAGGGGAAGATCCTAGGTAAACAGAGACACTTGTTGATTGCTCCCCCTAAGGAAAGCCGTGGCCACAGAGAAGTCGTCCAGCCCTTTATGGAAGCCTGGGTTTCAGACGCAATTGCCCGGGGAGGAAGGCGTCAGTACTCTGGAGAAGTGTTGGCAGGCGGTCTTGGCAGCGTGAAGTTGGAAGTACTGCGCCTCACTTCACAGCTTTCAGGGTATGAGAAGCGTCAGTACCACCCAAAAGAGACTGAGCTAAGTAAAAGTAAGCTCAGAGTTGTACAGCGCGAATTCTGTTGGGCTGTTGCATGCTGGAATATGTAGTCTTTGCCTTCTGCAGCCGGCTTTGTGCCAGTTAAAATCCTCTCTTTGATTTTAAATAAATTGTCCATCTGAGAAACTTAACTTCTGAGAAACTTAACTTCTGGCCAGGCTTGAATGTCAAGGATGAAATGATACCATACTAAAAAGTTAATAGTTGTTAAGTGCCAACTCATAGTTGTTCCCTACTCATAGTGATCCTGTATAGGGTTTGTTGTTGTTAAGTTCCGTCTAGTGGATTTCGACCCCTAGCCACCCGATATAGTGTTTCTGAGGAGCAGCTGGAGAGCTTGAACCACCAACCTTGCAGTTCAAACGGCTTTACAGTCTGACGCATTAACCCACAGCACCACACCAGGACTCTTACAGGGTTTGGTTATGTGCGGTGGAGGCGGTTCTGACTCATAGCGACCCTGTACAGGGTTTCCGAGGCTGTAAATCTTTACAGGAGTAGAAAGCCTCATCTTTCTCCCGCAGAACAGCTCGTAGTTTCGAACTGCTGACCTCAGTTGGCAGCCTAATTTGTAACCACTACACTACCAGAGCTCCTTCTTATAGAGTTTATGAGGTTGTTATTCTTTGTGGGTACAGAAAGCCTCATCTTTCTCCAGAAGAGTGGCTGGTATAAATTGTTGACTAATGTTTTTTTTTTATTAAAATAATCTGGAAATAGAAAAAACACGAATTGACTTTGCTCCAAAACCTTCATTTCAAGTGGTATTTAATTTGAGAAATTAAGGATAACATTGTAAAGAATGGGAATTTCAAAACACTTAATTGTGAACGCTCATGTGGAACCTCTACAAAGACCAAGAGGCAGTCCTTGAAAGACAAAAAGCGAATACTTTGTGGTTTAAAATCAGGAAAGGTATGCATCAAGATTGTATCCTTTCACCATACTTGTTCATTCTGTATGCTCAGCAAATAATCCTGGAAACTGGACTATATGCAGAAGAACAGGCATCAGGATTGGAGGAGGACTCATTAACAACCTGTAATATGAAGATGACACAACCTTGTTGAAAATGAAGAGGACTTGAAGCACTTAACTGATGAACGCCAAAGATTACAGTCTTCTCAATGGATTACACTTCAACATAAAGAATACAAAAATTTTCACAAGTGGACTAGTAAGCAGCTTCATGATAAATGGAGAAAAGTTAGAAGTCAAAAGTTTCATTTTATTTGGATCCACATCAGTGCCCATGGAAGCAGCAGTCAAACACTCAAACAACACATTGCATTGGACAAATCTGCTACAAGAAACCTCTTTAAAGCGTTAAAAGGCAAAGGTGTTACTTTGACGACAAGATGCACCTGACCCAAGCCATGATATTTTTCAGTTGCTTCATATGTATTTGGAAACTAGACAGTGACTAAGGGAGACTGAAGAAGAACTGATGTTTGCAATTTATGGTGCTGGTGAAAAATATTAAATATGCCATGGACTGCCAGAAGAACAAGACAAATCTATTTTGGAAGAAGTACAACCAGCATGTTTCATAGAAGCGAGGATGGTGATACTTTTTGTCACATATTTTGGAGAGTTTATTAGAAGAAACCAGTCCCTTAAGAAGAACATCATGGTTGTTAAAATAGAAGGCCTAACAAGTGAAAAAGAGGGACACCCTCAACAAGACGGGTTGACACAGTGATTGTATATCTCACATAGGAATGATGCTGAGGTTGGCACAGGATCAGGCAGTGTTTTGCAGTGTTTCATTCTCTTGTAAGTAGGGTTGCTATAAGTTGTAACCAACTCAACAGCACCTAACAACAACAATAAAACCCCATTGGATGGCTTCTTAGTGTACTTTTTTGGTTATATTTATACTGTCAAAAATCAAAATCATAATTAGAACTATGTTACAACACAGAACTCAGGAAGAAGAAAGATGAATGTTAAGTCAACTCATAGCAACCCTCTATAGGGTTTCTGAGTAGCAGCCGGTAAGTTTGGTTCAGTTCACACTGAGTTGATTCCAACTCATAGAAACCGTGTGTATAGGGTTTCTAAGGAGTGGCTGGTGCTGACCTTGCAGTTTGCAGTCCAGTGCTTATCCTACATTGCCACACTGGGACTCCCTTTGGTGGTATACTGTGGAGTTGGTTCCAACTCATAGTAACTCTGCATAGGGTTTCCGAGGCTGTATCGAGCAAACTGTACTCTTTTATTTCTGAGCACTTTCAAGGTCATTTCCCTGATTGCCACATTTCTTCTTTGCCACATTTCTGAACATGTTGACTGTTGAGCAAGTTCCGTTTACTAATAAAGTCTGTTAACTAATAGTCTCATCTGAGGGAACGTTTTATTTCCACTGGGAGGTAGGATTCTGTTGAATTTAGTAAACACTTACTGAGAAGAAAAGGATTAAGTGGAGGGAATGTGGCCTGAGACCTTTTTTAAGCACCAAGCCATGCACAGTAATTCCAGTCTAGCTTTCGACCACTTTAAGCCAATTCATTATTTTAAAATGAAGATTGATAAAGCAAATCAAATCAAAGAGCTTCTTTAAAAAAACACTAGTACGTATCTTTGACTGAAGAGCTTTCACAGAGCATTTAAAATACGAATAAATCGATAAAAGTCATATTCACATAGAGCACTCTTAAATAGCATACCATTTTGTAAAAGGAGGCACATCTTTGTATGGATTATACAGTCTTTTAGTGATTATGAAACAAATGCAGTTGCTGATTTCTTTACCAAAGTTTCCAATATAATGGAATGACATCGTGGCAGCGACAGTGGGCTCAAACGTAGCCACAATTGTGAGAGGGGCACAGGATGGGGCGTTTCCTTCTGTTGTGCATAGTGTCGCTGTGAGTTGAAACTGACTCAGTGACACCTAACAACGACATACCACAATGAAATGTTTTGTTTTTTAACCAACTATCAAAACACTTTAAATGGGCTCAGCTCATCAGATTTTATCAGATGGGGATCACTAAATTTACCTGCTGAGAAGATATCTAGAGTAAAGCAACTATATACTTCATAGACATGAAATTTGTTCTGTTTTCTATACTGGTAATTGCTGAAATTTATGGACACTAAAATGATTTGGGCCTGGTTTTTTTGTTTTGTTTTACCTCAGACTCAAACAGTTTTATTTGGAACATGTGCCAGAACACTTTGACAAGTGCATTTAAAAACTATTTCCTGATGGTAAACATAACATCAACTATGAGATAGCCTTGTCTCTCCTTCCCCTTTCCCCCACCAGTCCTACCTATATCTCTATAATAATCAAACCTCTCTAGATCCAGCTACAGTGTACAGGAAATAAGACAAAAGGATCATATTTATTAACACCCCAGCAAAGTCTAGACAGTGGGAGACTACAGAAAAAAAATGACCTGGTTTGCCAACAAATAAATTGCAAGAAAAAAAGAAAATGAGAAGAAACGTGTTCAAAGATGTATTAGCCAGATGCAATAGGTGGACCTTATTTGAATCGATTCCACAAATTGTAAAATATATTTGCAAATGATGTTTTGAGGAATTGGTACTGTTAGGGTATTTGATAGTAAAGCATTGATAATTACTGAAGTTGGGTCATGGGCACTTGGAGATTAATTGTACTCTTCCTTTAAATGTGTTTAAGTGTTATTAAAAGGTAACAAACTTCATGCTTCTTTTGTGGTAGAACAAAAAAAGCAATGCAAGTACTCAAACCTTTTTTCTACATTTTATGATGTTGAGGAAAAAAATATACCCTTCAACAACTGATAATGGATTTCCATTTTCTTAGAGATTTATTTTGATAATACATTTTACTGCTCTAATGCATTAAACTAAGAAGAACGAAATGAAATTTTTTGTTATAGATTATCAGTAAATGATGTGAATTAGTGGAGAAGTTGGATTCATTTGTACTATTAATCATATGTCTACTGATTTATGAATAATAATGATCCTGGACCCATATTTTATATATAATTAGATTGATTTTCAGATGAAAGATTTTGGGGGAGAAGAACCCTGAGAGCCACAGCAATTTTAACACTTTTGGAATAGAGGTTATGCTTTCCAGACTCATTTTCTGTTAGAAGTAAATAGTAAGGTCATAGATTCAATCTAGAGCCTTTCTGCTCAAAGTGAGGTGTTCAAACTGTTGACATTAGGGTGCTAACTAACTCCTAGGTGCTAGGAGATGTAGCAGCTTGCATGATTTTGATCTTTATTTTGGTGTTCTTGCTTTTAGGCAGAAGCTGAGGAAGATTGTCTTTCTGATACTGCCAGAACAGAAGATGATGATGAAAATGAAAGCTCTGCTGAAACAGATCTGCAGGCATGTTTCTTAAATTGTATTTTAATTATTTTTATTGCTTTCCCACCATTAACAGAGATTGATCATAATTGAAGATTTGTGGGTTCTTGTTTGTGTTGAATTAACTGTATGACCTACCAGCTGTGTTTTAGATTTTCTTTTCTGCATAAAGAAATATCAATCATGGCTGCTTTATAGCTTGATACATAGGTTTTAAGTATCCAAAGCTCAAGCAAGCATGACAGAAAGTTAAGTGAAACAGTCAACTGGAAAAGCTGTTCACCACATATGAACAGAGGGTTACTATCCTCACTGTATAAAGCATTTGTATGATTTTGGAACTTTAGGATAAGCACTGGACCGACTGCTAACCACAAAATTGGTGGTTCAAACATACCATGACCCTATACAGGGTCACTATTAATTGGTACCAACTCAGTGACACACAACAACAATGTTAGTTAGTAAGAGGAACACAGAATAGAAAAACAATGGATAGACAGTTAATGGGGAAAAAGTAATATAAATGACATAATTAGCTGCAGTAGTATTCCTAAGGAAGAAAAGGCACTGTGCTGACACAAAAGTAAAGTGCTCAGCTGCTAACCAAAAGGCTCGCAGTTTAAATTCACCAGAGAGGTGTTTCTGTAAGGTTACAGCCAAGAAAAACGGATGAGGCAGTTCTGGTCTGTCACATGGGATCCCTATGAGTTGGAAATTGACTTGGTGGTACCTAATAACAATAATGAGAAAAATACAAATTAAATCTACCATGAAATGTGTTTTTTAAATGATCCAATTGGTGACTAGTACCCATTGCTATCCATGTTGTGCAGACCTTAAGCAGGATACATAAAAGCATAAAGTGTGGCAATATGCGTCAAAATGGAAAACTTGCATTCTCTTCTGTTCAGCAATGCTGCTCCTGGGAAACTGGTTCTAAATAATGGGGAAAGTAAGTAAATTTATATTTGCAGAGATACTTATTGTGGCATTGCTTATATGGAAAAATCTAATATTACCTGAATATCACTTATGCTAACTAATGATGCATTCATATAGTGAAATATACTGCAGTTCATGAAAGGATGAAGTACATTTTTATACACCGAAAACTAGTTGATTATGTCTCAATTAACGTATTTTAAATAAATTGTCTTCAAATCAACTCATGGTGACCCAAGGTGTTTCTTACAAGGCACCATAGGGCTTTTAAAGCTGTGACTTTCAAAAGCAGATCAATCAGTCGACCTTACTTCCATGTAAACTCAAGGCGGATTCGAACCCTCAGCCTTTTGAATAGAAACTGAGCACTTAATCGTTTGCACCATCCAGAAATTTACTGAACTTACACGCTTTCTAATATTTGTTTATATGTAATATATTGTCTAGTAGATGTTAAGGTGCTGCTAAAGATTCTGTTGATCAGAAGTGTATGTGTTGTAAGTTAAAGGGGGAGTGGTAGGAACAGTGTACAGAATGTATAGACAAGTTATTTCTAAAATGTTGTGCCTGTATATGTACCTTTTAAACTGTATTAATGTTATATTTGCTTCCTTTTTTAAAAGCCACAAATAAGCTCCACATTATTGAGAGGAAGGTAACTGCAGTGGGGATTATCATGCAGGGGGTTTATTAGGGAGTTGTCTTAGGGTTTGCTACATACACAGAACCAGTGAGATAGATAGATAGACAGAGAAGTAAAGTGACATATGTAGTGATAGACTTACTTTGCTGAATTGCCTCATACAGTTGTTGGGGGCTGGCAAGTTCAAAAGGAGCCCTGCTCGTACACTGGTTCACCGTTTGACTGCTTAACCAAAAGGTCGACAGTTTGAACCCACCAGCCACTTCAGGGGAGAAAGCTGGGACATTCTGTCTCTGTAATGCTTTACAACCTTGGAAATGGGGCATTTCTACTGTCCCCTGGGATCACTAAGGTAGGAATCAACTCAGCGATACATAAAAACAATATACTTTAAAGGGATAATGGTATTGGCACAACAAATTTTAATTAGAATTAAACATAGGCCATTACTTAAGGCTGAATTTATAAGCTTTCAAATGAGCCATCTAATTTATTTGGAATGAACTATCTAGTACACATTAAAAGTGCTGCTAACAATTCTGTAAATTAGTCCAAAGTTTTTCTTTTTAATGTCCTTTTATTCAAAAACTTTTTTTCTAATACTTATCATTTAAAAAAAATATTAAAGTATAGAAACAGCATGTGATGAACTCTGATGTATCGCCCAAATCCTGCTTCAGGGATGACTGACTTAGGACCCCAGCCACTGGGAGAGTAACAACAGTGCTCAATGCTCAGCCCTTTTGGCTGCTGCCTCAGCCTAAGAGTGTTCCCTCAGAAGATCACACTGCACTCAATGCCTGGTCATTGAGACTGATCAGTGAGTGGCCAAGGCCTGGCCCTCTGGCTCCAATTCAGAGCTTCAAGCTAGCTCTGAAAGGTTATTCATCTTTCAACTCCCCACAGGGTTCACTAAATCACTGCGTTTGTAGTGTGTTGCAACTAACCTCTCTCTCTGCGCATTCCTGCTGAAGTGGACCACTGCAGGAGTGCTCTTGGTATCGGCACCTGTAGAAGGACTGACAGGAAGCCGGGAAGGCTGTGATTCCCAGTTGTATGGCCAGACTAGGCTAATTGCTATTATGGAGTAATTAATAAGTGATTAAATCAGTTCACCATAAGTAAGGCAGATCACCTTCAATATAGTCATTTAATCAGTCAAAAGCCTTAAAAGCAGAAAGGGAGTTTCCCTACAATGTGTTCTGCCCACAGACTACAAAAAGATATTTTGGCAGAACTTTCACCTCACTTTTCTGGTCACCTGACCTACAGAGTTTGTGATGTAAGCCTGCAGTTGTCTCCAGACTGTTGTCTGACCTATGGATTTTGGACTTGCTATCAAACCCCAAACCAAATGCATTGCTGTTGAATCCATTCTCATTCAAAGTGACCCCATGTGACAGTAGAACTACTGTACAGGGTCTTTAAATCCATAGTCTTTATGGGAGCAGACTGCCAAGTCTTTTTCCCTATGGAGTTGCTGGTGGGTTCAAACTGTTGACCTTCTAATTAGCAACTAAGAACTTACCTATTGCATTTCACAGCTTCTTTTAAAAAGTATGTTGTTCCGACTCAACAACCCTGCATAGGGTTTTCAAGGAGCAGCTGGTGAGTTTGAACCGCTGACCTTGTGGTTCTCAGTTCAGTGCTTATCCCACAGTGCCAAGTATGGAGAAACTTATTTTAGGCTTTGACATTTAGGCTTTGACATTATTCCTTTAAAGTTTTACATAGAAAATTATTTTAAATGGGAATAGGTGTTTAAACGGTTTGGTTTAGTAATTTTATAAGCATTTTTTGGTCTTAGAATAATAACTGTTTAAGTGGAAATAGACATCAGACATACTGATCAATTGCTCCGGAGTTGAGCTGTCTGTCAATGAGTCTTAAACATTTGTCTCCCCCTAGGCACAACTCCAGATGTTCCGAGCTCAGTGGATGTTTGAGCTTGCCCCTGGCGTAGGTTCTGGCAGTTTAGACAGTCGACCTTGCAGAGGATCAGCAAGAGGCGCTTTACTGAAAGCAGATACCAAAGGAAAGCAAGAACTGGCAAAAGAGGAAAAGTTAAGTATTATGGACACTGCTCCCTTAAAAGTGTATGTACTAAAAGTGACTGCTGATGACAGCCCATACTGCCTCACCAGCAATGAGACTGTCAGGAAGTCTGTATAACCATTGCTTCCCTTGTAATACATTTTGTCCTCCGTATAAAAATGTTAATTGACTTAAGTTAGTAGCCATTATAGTGTTTTATGGTATATGTGGACACATGACTGGTAAAATAAGGCAAATCTTTTTCTCATGTGGAAGAATCTTGACAAGTGTGCCAGTTTATACACCTCTTACTCACTCCAGCTATGTCTGGCTACTTCGCCGATGCCCCTACTCTGCATGTGCGTTGTCTTCCTGCTCTTCATCAAACTAGCTTCCCTTAACTTAAAGATCCCTGAGATGCACTTGGCCTCTAAAAGATAGATGCCTGTCCTAGTCCTTCTCCTGTGAAATAGGCATAAAACACTTGCATTTCTCAGTATTCTCCTAGTCCACAGAGACAGTCATCCTCACATGATCTCATCCAAGATCTTACTTACAGACAATGTGCCATTAAATAAGTGACGTGCCTGTGATGACTGATTCTACAGTTTCACCTTTTTGTTTGGCAGTCATGACACCCTTTACCCAGCCTTTCCCAATGGTAACGTAACTGTAGTACAAGATCAAAACCAGGAAATAAGCATTTTTACAATCCAGAGTGCTTATTCAGATTTTCGCCATTCTTAACAGCACTTATTTTTGTGTTTGTGGGTATTTAGTTCCAGGCAATTTTATCACGCTAGTAGCTTTGTGTAACCACCAACACCATCAGGATATAGAACTATTACATCACCACAAGTCTCCCCATGTCACCGGACCTTTAGAGTGACACTCACCCCTCTCTCTCTCCGAGTTCCTAATCCCTGACAACCACTCATCTGTTCTCCATGTCTATGATTTTGATACTACAAGTGTGTTGTAAAAGTGGAATCATATATTATATAACCTATTCAAATTGACTTTTTTCACTCAGCATAATTTCAGGTCCATCCAAGTTGTGTGTATAATCAGTTTGTTCCTTTTTATTGCTGAGTAGTTTTCCATGATATGGATATACCCCAGTTTGTATATCCATTAACTTGTCGAAGAACATTTGGGTTGCTTCCAGTTTTGGGCTATTATAAAAGCGTTGCTGTGAACATTCAGGAACTGTGATATGGCGCTGCGGGTTAATGTGCTGGACTGTAAGGTAGGTTTGAACCACAAGATGGGAGGTTCAAGCTCACCATCTGTTCCTCATAAACCCTATACAGGGTCACTATGAGTCAGAATCAACTTGACAGCACTTTACAACCAACCAACCAACCAAAAATGAATATTCAGGTGTAGATTTTTGCATGAGCATAAATTTTGTTTCTGCTGGATAAATGCCCAGGAATCCATTTGCTGAGTTGTATGGTCAGTGTATGTCTAGTTTTAAAGAAACTGCCAAACTACTTCTTAAAGTGGCTGTGCCATTGTACTCCCACCAGCAATGTAGGAGTGGTCAGTTTCTCTGCTTTTGGTGTTATTGTTACTTCTTCATTTTAGCTATTCTAGTAGGTGTGCAGTGGGGGCTCATTGTTTTAATTTGCATCTCACTAATGGAGTCCTGGTGTGGCACTGTATGTGAATACGCCAGACTGCAAAGCCATTTGAACTGCTAGGTCAGCGGTTCAAGCTCACTAGCTGCTCCTCGGAAACACTCTACAGGGTGGCTATGGGTCGAAACTGACTCAACAGCACTTAACAACAACAGTGGCTATTGGGGAGTCCTGGTATGGTGCTATAGGATAAGCACTGGATTGCTAACAGTAAGGTCTGCGGTTCAAACTCACCAGTTGCTTCTTAGAAACCGTATACATGGTCCCTGTGAGTCAGAACCAACTCGACAGCATTTAACAAATACTTCAGCAGTGGCTAGTGATGTTAAACGTGATTTCATGGCTTATTTACCTTCTGTATATCCTTTGTGAAATGTCAGTGTTGTTCCTAATTTCTAAGTTTGTACTGCTGAATTCTAAGAGATATTTAGAATTTTAGATAAAATATGTGTGGGATATATACTTTTTTTGATCAGGTCTTTTAGCACTGTAGGGTAAGAACTGAACTGTTCAATACAAGGTCAGTGGTTTGAATCCACTGTCCATTATGGGGGGAGAAATATGAGACTTTCTGCTTCCATGAAGATTTGCAGCCTCAGGAGCCCAAACAAGGTCACTATGAGTCAGAACCAACTCACTGGCACACAACAACATATAACTTTTTAGATATATGGTTTGCAAGTATTCTCTCCCAGTTTTTAGTTTGTTTTTTTCCTTCTCTTAGAGGGTTTTTGCAAACTTGTTAATTTTCATGAGGTCCAATGGATCAGTTTTTTCTTACGATAGTTCTTTTGGTGTCTAGTATACGGACACTTTGTTCCTTTTCTAGTATAAGAATACTAGTTCCCAAAGGATGTTTCTTTTATGGTTTTTTTCTAGAAGTTTCACATTATGCAATTAAATTTGAGATTCATCTTGAGTTAATATTTGTATAAGGTGAGAGGCTTAACTCAAGGCCCTTGTGTTGCTTTATTGCAGTAGCATTTGTTGAAAAGTCTATCCATCTGCCATCCATAGTCGCTTTTATACAGATTTCCAGATTATTTGTCCTGGTTTATTTTGTAGGCTCGAGAACTCTTCCTGAAAGCAGTAGAAGAAGAACAAAATGGAGCTCTTTATGAAGGTAAAACTCAGGGCCCAAGATCATAGTGTCATAATAGTTCTGAATAACAGGTCTTCGTTGTTGGATAGTTTGTTTTTTCCTAGAACATATTTGATATATTGAGTCTCCCTGTATTTGATAATGTCTGTTTTTGTTTTCTAATGAAAAATAATTGTTTTTCTGTTTAACTTGTCTCTTTCCCCAAAAAATAATACTCGACAATATATTGGCAGCAGGAGTAAAAGAACATTTTTCTAAGTGTTAGTATTTAGTCACTCTTAATTTATAAAGTGTTAAAAATGTTTTTTAAGTTCTAATTTGCATTTTACCAAAAGAAATACCCTTCAATTTTAATAGTCTCTTTTATTGACCCTGTAGAAATAGGCAAGTCAACAGTAATGGGACTGTGTACTGTTTTCGCTTTGTAATTATGCTTTCATTATGTGATAGTAAATTTAATAATTGGGGCATGGGGAAAATGCTTGTGCTTGAATTATTTGAAGATGCCCTCAGGATAACATTATTTGGAATTACTACAGTTATGTACACGTTTCTGTAGGGATAATTTTGCTCTCTGATTTTAAAAGGGCCCAATTGGTCAAGTCCCTTTGCAGTCTGTATTAATTTGTAGAGTCCCATCTCCATTTAGTGCCTAGGGATTTGCCCAGAGGAACAGAACATGGCAGAATACACTGATCTGGATAGACTTCCTCTGAAGGAAGAACTAGTCTGCTTTTGTTGCCCCAAATTCTAATAGTATATTTCTGTAGGGACGATTACTATATAGTAATGACCCGCTGGCCAGAAGGCTAAAAAGAAGTGTTAAAAAGGAGATAAATAAGAGGCAGGTGGGCTAAAGGAAGTTGAATCTGAAATGTAACTTCCAAAAAGTATTGTTTTCTGTATTCTACCCAGTGGGAAGCATTTGATTTTTCTCAAATCTCTATCCTAGACAGAAAAGTTTACTTAGAAGTGTTTTTTTGAGGCTGCATCAGTTGCATTTTCAAAGTCCAAAGAAACACATCCACAGAAGATCACTTCTGAAAATGCTTAAGAGAGTGAGGGAAACCCTGGGAAGGGCTGAAAGTAAGATACAACATCTTAAGTTTCTATAACCTGTTAGTTTCAGACAAGAGAAAGTATTTCTGAGCAATAGGTTTAGATATAAGTTTGTTCACTGAGCTGAAATTGCATGTAGAAAAAAGGAATTTGACTGCTTGTAAAGAAAGTTACCAAACTAACCACAGTTAAAGGTAGAAAGGAAATGACAAAAATGTGTGGTCATAGCTAACTTGCTTTGTTTTCTTTTAGCCATCAAGTTTTATCGTAGGGCTATGCAACTTGTACCTGATATAGAGTTCAAGATTACTTACACCCGGTCTCCAGATGGTGATGGCGTTGGAAACAGCTAGTACGTATCTCATTTGATAGACAGTGTAATACGTACACGTTTGTTAAAGTTAAGCATCTTTGCCCTGTTGACTCTTACCATGATAAGATGGGGCTGATTCTGTTAAGGTGTATAGTGTTTAGTATATCCTTGTTTGTAAAGTTGTAGCCAATTTTTAATTAGGGAAATTTTTTAATTACCATGTAGAAATAGAAATTTTAAGATAAAAAATAAGGTGATGAAGGAATTTGTAATAAAAGCAGTAGTAATTAAAAGAAATAAAGAACACATTTCTCAGCTTTCTGAAACTTTTTTGAAGTGAAAAGTATTAAAATGTAATTAAGTCACCGGAGGATTAATAATGACTGCAATTGGGTGATGGGTACATTAGATTTCATTGCATTAATCTCTCTCCTTTTGTATGTTTGAGACTTTACATAAAAAGGGAGCTTTTGATTTTTTCTTTAGGGAAGTTTTGCACTATAACAATATTTATTAAGGTATGTTGATATTACAACGTGGTTAAAAGCACAGTTGCAAGATATAAACATTCCGTAACCAGATCATGTTTCATTGTACAGATGCCACTTTCATCATTATCATAAATAGCAGTGATGGTTTTCTATATGTGAACATCAAGAAAACATATTTGTAAGGCAAATTAATTCAACTGTTTTGGCTCAATTTCTATATTTCCCAAAACCTAACTTTCTGATATTAGTGGGGGAAGGGTGTCTATACCCATGAGAGAATGCCAGGTTTGAAATGAGCAATACATAGAAAAATAGTTTTGGTAATGAGATAGTGTATTAGTTATTGTATAATCTTACATTAAGAAGCCCCAGTGGCACAGTGGTTAAGTGCTTGGCAACTAAACAAGAGATTGGTGGTTCAAACCCACCAGCTGTTCATAGGAGAAAGATGTAGCAGTCTGGTTTTATAACTGTTATAGTCTTGGAAACACTATGGGGCATTTCTACTCTGTCTGTATTCATGGTTATATCACCTTAGTCATGAAGTGTTTAAGAGGTTACCTTTACTGTTCCTGCCAATATTTGTTAACTACGTATATTATTAGCACTTCAGTTTGGGATGTTGTTAGGTGCCATCAGGTTGGTTCTGACTCGTAGTAACCCCATACACAGCAGAACAAAACACTGCCGGATCCTGTGCCAGCCTCACAATTAGTATGTTTGTGCCCATTGTTGCAGCTGTCTCACTGAGGAACTTCCATTTTTGTTCTCTGCTTTACCAAGCATGCTGTCCTCCTCCAGGGACTGGTCCCTCATGATAACATGTCCACAGTATGTGAGATGAAGTCTTGCCATCCTGGCTTATAACGAGCATTCTGGCTGTTATTTTTATCAAGGTAGATATGGTTATTCCTCGCCAATACAGTAATTCGAATGCATCAGTTTTCTTCTCCATTCTTCCTTATTCATTGTCGAGCTTTTGCATGCATATGCTGTGATTAAAAAGACCTTGCTTTGGGTCAAGCACATCTTTAGTCTCAAAGTGACTTCTTTGCTCTTTAACCTTTTAAAGAGGTCTTTTGCAGCAGTCTAAGTCTTAGATGGACACCTAGTGTAATGGTGTAGGATCAGCATGGGACTGTGAACCAAAAAGTCAGCTATTCAAACCCACCAGCTGCTCCTCACAAACCCTATACAGGGTCACTATGAGTTAGAACTGATTCGATGGCACTGAACAACAACAATGTTGTGTAGAGTCATTTAGAGCTACCTCTAGCTAATTTTATAAATAGGTTCCCAGGTGCTGTGAAGACAGGTTGTACCAAAACATTTCCCCTCTACTTTCCCTTTACACAAACCGAAATGTTATGAGTCCTTTAAAAATGATGATTTTTTTTTTTTTATATCAGATGTGGTAAACCCTAAAAATTTCCTTGCCTTTCTTTGTAAAATGCTTGTAGAATACCATTAAGGTCCATCTAGCATTAACAAAACTTGCCCTTTCTTGCATCAGAAAACCCCTTCCCGCTTTTTGAAATGCTATTCTTATTTAAGTCTCATCATCTTTAAGGAGCTCTGGTAGCGTAGTGGTTACGAATCAGGCTGCGAACCTTAAGGTCAGCGGTTCGAAACTACCAGTCGCTCCTCGGGAGAAAGATGAGGCTTTCTACTCCCATAAAGATTTACACCTTCGGAAACCCTGTACAGGGTCGCTATGGGTCGGACCCGACTCCACAGCACATAACAACAACAACAACTCATCATCTTTAAAGTTAACTCCAGCAAAAATGGAAAAGATTTACAGTGATATTTATATTGGCAGATGATTTGTGGATCTTACTAAAATTTTTCGAATTATATGTTTTTTCGCTATAGATAGTTTAGTAACTTAAGGAACATCTGTTAGAAAACCCTTAGTAGTGAAATACTTCAGACACCACATCTACATTTGATGGGTATGAATTAAGTTCCTTTGAAAGGATTCATCCTCATATGATTTTTCAAAGTAATTTAAAATTAAAATGATAACTCATGAAATCATTATTTTACAATAAAACTCATTAAATTTCAACATCAAGTGTTTCTAGGTAGTAATTAAAATTTCAGAAACTTTGCTCTTAAATAAGTGTTGTATGTATGGTACTTGTAATACAGGGTAAACTTATCACATCAAATAATAATAAAGTAATAAGAAAATTTACTTTTAGGTAGCATTTCCTAAGTTGGTGTTTTGGAAGTTCCTAACCTTTGTTTGTAGATGGAGGCACTGAATTTGCTCGTCTTCCGCCTGTCTTTTTTCAGCATTGAAGATAACGATGATGATAGCAAGATGGCAGATCTCTTTTCCTACTTCCAACAACAACTTACATTTCAGGAGTCTGTGCTCAAACTGTGTCAGCCTGAACTTGAGAGCAGTCAGACTCACATTTCAGGTTTGATCTCCTGGTTATTATAACTCTGAGAAGTATTTCCAGCATACATTTACAGTTCTCAAACTTAGCAGGTCAGATTACTTACCACATCATTGGTGCACTAGTTCAACATAGGAGTCATGGTGTAGGATTAGCACTGAATTGCTGACTGCAAGGTCGGCAGTTCAAACCCACTAACTGCTCATGGAAACCCTATACAGGGGTCACTATAAGTCAGAACTAACTTAGTAGCACTTAACAGCTAAAAGTTCAAAATATGGTGGGAGATGTAGTGATAATTACTGTTTGTGTAAATTAATAAGGTTTTAGTTAAACAGAGTTTAAGTCATACTTTTTCGGGGATGATCTAAGAGGGTGAGTCTTAGAATTGTTAAGGTGGACTTAGGAAACTCAAAGAAAAATGAATTTATTTTTCTCTTCAGATGGTAATCATTATTTAATTAGTTATGGGCTTTTGAAGGCCTAAAGGACGATGATAATTTTCAAGGAGATAAAAATAAGTTTTTAGTGTTAACATATGCAATATGAATCACACACAAATATATAGTAGTATAGTTTCTAACATTTGTTTTAATATGTCTTGATAGTAAAATGATCTTCAAAGGGAATAAAGTACACCTCCCAAAATGAGGTTATGTATGCCTTCATGTTAGGAACCGTGAATACTACTGAGTGGTTAAAAACCTTATGCTGGGGCTCAGAGCAGTGCTGAGGGTGTGGTTTATAAATTTGTAGCAATGCTTGAGGACATCTTCAGTGAGAATGTATGTCACAGTGTTGTGTCTCACAGGAGAGTCACTGAGTGGATGGTTCTCTTTTGCAGTGCTACCAATGGAGGTCCTCATGTACATCTTCCGATGGGTGGTGTCGAGTGACTTAGACCTCAGATCATTAGAGCAGTTGTCACTGGTGTGCAGAGGATTCTATATCTGTGCCAGGTACTTACTGTTTTAAACAGCTCAGACAGTGGTGAAAAGAAGGATTAAGGTCTTTTCCCGTCTGTTCATTTTGATTAAAGAACTTGATGATCTAGATAAAAGTTAGAACGAATAGAAGTTTTGCTAAGTTCTAATGTAATTTTCTTGAACAACTTACATTTAAAATTAGAATGTACTATATATGTTTGCAGAGTCCTGGTGTGACGCTGCGGGTTTAATGCACTGGACTGCAAGGTTGGTTTGAGCCACAGAGTCAGTGGTTCAGGCTCACCAGCCGCTCCTTATAAACCCTATACCAGGTTGCTGAGATGGAACCTGTTCAACAGCACTTAACAACAAATATATGTTTATTGGGTATAGAATAAAAGAAACTTATATTATTTATATCTAGAACTGATATAGTCATCACTTCTATAGTGCATACTAGTTTCACTGATTTAGAAAAATAATTATATTAGGGAAATGTATATCCAAGTAATTTTTACAGTAGCTCTAAATCCACTAAGTGGTAATGATTTGCATTTAGATTGCACTAGAATTTTCCTTTGGTCTGTTTAAAATCATCCTATACTTTTAAAATCTTATTATCTGAGAAGTAATCATAGTTTAGTATGAAATAATTTCAAACTAGCAATCTTTTATGGGTATCTGTAAAAATATGTGCTTATTCTTTATTGCTTGGAATTTTTTTGTAGCTATAATTTTTAAGTTTCAAATGATTTGTTTTAGATAATTTAATTTCATTTGGAGTGTTGTATTTGAGGTAAAATTTTTGTCTTCAGCGTATGCTTCCTGGTTCCTTAAGAGATTTAGCCATGTGTCTTGGCGTCTATCTTACCCTGTCTCCTGTTCCCTTGACCAATCTCTTTTATATCTCAAAAGAGATTAACTCAAGATACTCTCTACACTAACCCTGCCTCATTATCATCACATAGACAAGCCATACCCAAATCGGATTATACCCTCAGGTGTGTTGTTGCTAGGGGCCAGTCAGTCAGTTCCAACTCCTAGTGACTTTATGCATAACAAAATGAAACAGTTGTTGTGAGAATGGCACAGGACTGGCCATTTCCTTGGGGGTCTTTTTCACTGACTCTCCACTTTATCAAGCATGATGTCCTTTTCCAGGGACTGAAAAAGTACAAGAGACATAGTCTCCCCATCCTTCCTTCTAAGGAGCATTCTGGCTGTACTTCTTCCAACACAGATGGTTTGTTCTTCTGACAGCCCATGATACTTTTAATAGTATTCTCGAACACTATAGCTGAGATGCATCAGTTCTTCCATAGGCTCCCTTATTCATTGCCCAAATTTCGCATGTGTATATATGAGGTAATTGAAAATACCCTTGCTTGGGTCAGGTCCACCTTAATCCTCAAACTGACATCTTTGCTCTTGAACACTTTAAAAAGGTATTTTGCAGATTTGCCACATGAAGTAATGTGTCACTTGATTTCTTGACATCTGCTTCCATGAAATCCATGATTATTGTAGTCTTTGATCTTCATCAGTATTTCAAGTCCTTTTTGCTTTCAGCAAGTAAGGTTGTGTCATTTGTATATTGCAGGTGGTAAATGAGTCTTCTTCCAATTCTGATGCCATGTTCTTCATATAATCCAGCTTCTCAGATTATTTGTTCAACATACTGATTAAATATTTTTGGTGAAAAGATGCAACTCTGGCGAACACTTTTCCTGATTTTAAATCATTCAGAATCCCCTGTTCTGGTTGAAAGACTCCCTCTAGGTGTATGTACAGGTTCCTTATGAGCACAGTCGAATGTTATGGAATACCCATTCTTCACAATGTTATCCATAGTTTGTTACAATTCACACAGTCGAATGTATTTGCATAGTCGATAAATAAAGCACAAGTGTAAACATCTTTCTGATATTGTTTGCTTTTAGCCAAGATCCATTTGATATCAACAGTGATATCCCAAAGTCCATGTCCTCTTCAGAATCCAGCTTAACTTGTGACATCTCACTGTTGATATACTGCTGCAACCATTTTTAAATTACCTTCAGCAAAATTTGACTTGTATGTGATATTAATGATATTGTTAGGTGATTTCTGCATTCTGTTGGGCCACCTTTCTTTGGAGTGGACACAAATATGAATCTCTTCCAGATTGGCCATGTAGCTGTCTTTCGAATTTCTTGGCAGTAGATGAGTGAGTGCCTCCAGCACTGCATCAATTTGTTGACACATTTTAATTTGTATCCATCAGTTCCTGGAGCCATGTTTTTCACCAATACCTTCTATGTAGCTTGAACCTCTTCCTTCAATACCACTGGTTCTTGATCATTTGCTACCTCTTGAAATGGTGGAGCATCAACCAATTAATTATACAGTGACTCTGCATGTTCCTTCCTTCATCTTTTCAGGTTTCCTGCACCAGTCAATATGTTGCACATTTTATTGTTACGTGCTGTGGAGTCGGTTCTGACTCATACCTACCCCATATAGGGTTTCCAAGGAACAACTGGTGGGTTTGAACTGCAAACCTTTTGGTTAGCAGTGCAGTGCTTATCCTACAGCACCACACCAGGACTGGTGCTCTCTCTCAGATTCTTCATTTCTCACTTTGCTGCAGTCCTATGATGTGATCCCTCTGCCCTTGGTTGAGCTCTCTCATCACACTTCCTCTGAGGGGGAGGGGCTTGCCCTTCCTATGGTTCCCCTTCACTCTGGTCAGGCTCAGGAGCCCTTTCCTGGTCACCTTCTTTGGAATAGTCTGCTTACCTGCCCCGTGGTTACCATCCCCTTACCCTGCTTTCTTTTTCTGTCTGTCTGCTTTTGGAATAGTCTGCTTACCTGCCCCTTGGTCACCATCCCCTTACCCTGCTTTCTCTTTCTTTTTGTCTGCATTTGCACCACTTACACTCCTCAGTACTTATCTGTGTCTTTAATTTCTTGGTTTTCTTCCAGTAACAGAGCAAGAACTTTGCCTTGTTCATCAATAGAACAGTGTCTGGCAGGTGCTAAGCAAATAGTTGCTGAATAAAGATGACTGAAAGCAAAAATATTTCTTATGTCTGCGTCTTATGTGCACATTGATGTGTTTTTATTACCTAGAGACCCTGAAATATGGCGTTTGGCCTGCTTGAAAGTTTGGGGCCGAAGTTGTATTAAACTTGTCCCCTACACATCCTGGAGAGAGATGTTTTTAGAAAGGCCACGTGTTCGATTTGATGGTAAGTTGAGAAATAGTTGCATGCTGATTTTGATAGATACACAATTTACATTTTTGTAATGGACATAAGAACAGCATATTTAAGAGAAGCCACAATAAAAGTAAAGCTGGACACATGATTGCCCTTTAAGAGTTTATTACTTGTCATGAGCTCACTTTTTAAGTAGCGTTTCCTTTTTTATAGGGGTGTATATCAGCAAAACGACATACATTCGCCAGGGAGAACAGTCTCTTGATGGTTTCTATAGAGCATGGCACCAAGTGGAATATTACAGGTACAACCGTAGTAAACTGAGTGAGTGAAAATTCTCTCTCTCCAAGTATTAGTTTGTTAACATTTGTTCCTTTTCCTTTTACATTCATGTGTAAAAATAGTTCTCAGTATGTTTATCACCAGAACAGCTAATACAAATATCTAATTCCTCCTAGCTTCTAAATCTTAACATTTTGCATCTTGGAGCGCTCCCTGTCTTTTTCTTTAGTGTACTCTTACCTTTTCAAATAATAAGTATGCTTGTATTCAGCTGTTGTTGTTAAGTGCTGTCGAGTCAGTTCTAACCCATAGCGATCCTGTATAGGGTTTCTAGGAAGCAGCTGGTGAACATGAACCACCGACCTTGTGGTGCAGTCACTTTGCAGTCTAGCGCATTAACCCACCGCGCCACACTAGGGATCCTTATATTCAGCCATAGTGCTCATTAAATAATACTGTTATTGAGAAATAAGTAGACATTTTTTAACTGCTATATTTTATTACTGAAACTCACTTTTGTTTGACATTAATTAGTGCTTTAGGCAAAAAACACATAGAACTTAAATAGAGCAGTATTTAATCAAATTTATTTTTCTTCAGTGATTGTAACTGAAAGTTCAGTTCCCTCCAAGGAAGATAATGAAATGTCTCTTAGTTCTTTATTGCCAACCTCATGGGTTGTTGGTCACATTTATTTTAATGATGTTTTGCTAGTCTTTTTACCTTTGGCATTTCCATTTTGCTTTCAGGTCTATGAATAGGTTTAGGTATTGATAAATGAGGACATGTTTTACACTATGTGTGTATGGTGTTTTTCGTGGTCTCTTTCTTTTTACACAGGTATATAAGATTCTTTCCTGATGGCCATGTGATGATGTTAACAACTCCTGAGGAGCCTCAGTCCATTGTTCCTCGTTTAAGAACTAGGAATACCAGGTATTATCTTTCTGTAGCTTTCTATTCAGTCCACATTTTATATGGTTATGTGCAGGCTAAGGCTTCCCTGGATTAATACTGAGTGACTGGAAAAGCAATGTTGGGGGCATTTGTTAAAGATTCATGGGCTTCTCCACACAAAGTTTACTTTGGTAAATCTTTGGAGCCTTGTAATCTGTGTATTATTTACTTACACCCTAGCTTTGTATTCTTTACTCACATCCACTCTTATAACCCATTGCTTCCTGGAATACTTAGATCCATATGGTGGTGGTGGTTATGTGCTGTGAAGTCGGTTGCAACTCATGGTGACCCATATAGGGTTTCCGAGGCTGTAAATCTTTACAGGAGCAGAAAGGTTTCCAAGTAAATCCATATACTAACTAGTTAATACATTTAAACTATCTTTTTCTTTTTCAGAACTGATGCAATTCTACTGGGCCATTATCGCTTGTCACAAGATGCAGACAATCAGACCAAAGTATTCGCTGTGATAACTAAGAAAAAAGAAGAAGTGAGTATGCTATTCTCTTCTTAGTATAATATCTATTCATTCACACATTCTTGGCTATAAAGGGCCAAAATACTGCTTCATTACACTATTATACAAAATATATGTGGCTTATCTCTGAAGAGAGCTGAGTATTTTGTAAACTTGTGATTTTTATTTATTGTAGTAACTTGTGTGCTTTTCTCTGAATGATTTCCTTTTCTGATCAAGTATTTTTAATCCATAAAAGTGTAAAACCAAAATTTCCTTAAAGTAACTAGTAAAATTATACCTGATTATTATTTTCCATCTTGCTTTGAGTCGTAAACGGTTTCCCTCCTAGATTAATTTATATAAATAATTCTTTCACAAGTATATTTTTTACAGAGAACTTCAGTTTCTGCAGGCAATAAGCTAAAGTAAAATAATTACTTTTTTTCGTCCTGTTCTTGCCAGGAGGTAAATACCAGAAAATATAATTATTGATATTATTATATTCTATATTACGAACTGACTTGATATCAGTTAACAACAACAGAGTATATTAAATGCTCTTAACAGATTGAGGACCCTATTCTGTTCCACACCCTTTTCCCTAACTGAAAGCTATCGTGTTGTTTCAGTGCTGTGAGTCAGTTCTGACTCATAACCCTGTATAGATTTTCCAAGGAGCAGCTAGTGGGCTTGAACCACCAACCTTGTAGTTAGCAGTCTAGTGCTGACCCTGCAGTACCACATAAGTCATTTGTGATGTAGTTGATATAAATACTTGCATGTTGCTTTTAAAATTGTCTTAATAGCACCATCTTTTAAAAAGGTATTTCCCTTGTATTAAATCCCCCTCTTCCCAAGTATCATATGTGCTGAGGTAGTTAGGGTGGGGTTTCATCTGTGAATCATAATCGCCTATAGCCATCTGTTACTGACTTCTGTCCCTCTCTCTGCTAGGCCTTGGGCTTAGGGACAGCCGTCTGATTAGAGATATGGTAGCTATGACTGTGACCTTGCCCTGCATGTTGTGATATCAAAATTAGGGAAATTGTGAGGCCCTAGGTGTGTAGGTTTTATCTAAGAAAACAGTGTAGGAACTCCTATGTAGACTACCATTTTCCTCTTCAGTTAAAGATAAAATGAAAGCAGTCTTAGTATTTATGGTTTTGTATTTTCAGCATTAGTATTTGCTGAAATACTAGTTATTGCAGATGTTACACGCTAGGCTTTTTCAGCAGCCTCCACCAATTTACTACCTTTACTCTTTCAAAAAAAGGTTTGCTTTTGTAGTAAATAGAGGCTTAGAGACAGGAGACAAAAGTTTTAGTTTGCATCTCTGTTACCAACTGCTATGTAATTTTAGCCAACTCATTTGATCGCCTTGGGTCGTGACTGGAAATGGTGTCAGGTATGGCGCTGTAGAATAAGCACTGAATTGCTACAAACCCACCAGTAGCTCCTTGGAAACACTATACGGTGTTGCTATGAGTCGGAACCAACCTGATGACACTTAACAACATTTAATACATGAATGGTTGTCATGATTAATTGAGATGAAAATAATGGGAGGCCCTTACCTTTGTGAAGAGCTCTGGTAGTGTAGTGGTTATGAGCCAGGCCACTAATCTCACATTCAGCAGTTGGAAACTACCAGTGGTTCCACAGGAGAAAGATGAGGCTTTCTGCTACAGCCTAGAAACCCTACACAGGTCTCTATGAGTCGGAACTGACTCCACGGCACACCACCACCACCACCTTACATCTGTAAACTGTTTAACATTTTTCAATGACTCTCATACACATTCTCACTGGATTTACAAGGCAACTCTTTACTGTGTGCAGGTATGGTACTATTCATGTCACTCATACATGAGGAGACTTCAGAGAGTTTGTGGGAAAATTCCATTATCTTTTAACTCCATTTTTCCTTGAACTTTTTAAAACCTTCTTATATAATATGTAAATGAGGGTGCACTACAGTTTATGAGTCTTTTCTTTTACAGAAACCACTTGACTACAAATACAGGTATTTTCGTCGTGTCCCTGTACAAGAAGCAGATCAGAGTTTCCACGTGGGGCTACAGCTGTGTTCCAGTGGCCATCAGAGGTTCAACAAACTCATTTGGATACATCATTCATGTCATATTACCTACAGGTAACTATGCTAAAAATACCAAGGTAACATGTACTTCATTCATAACCTACCACTCATCTATCAGTTTGTCATACTGTGAAGGCTCATGTGTTGCTGTGATGCTGGAAATGATGCCACTGGTATTTCAAATACCAGTGACTCAATACCAGCAGGGCCCCCCATTGTGGGGCAGGGGCCAGCAGAGCTTCTAGACTAAGACAAACTGAGATGAACAGGAGTCAGTGGAGCTTCCAGACTAAGATGGACCAGGCAGTCTGCTTCTAAAACATTGGCCAGTGGCAACCTTATGAATAGAAGTGAAACATTGTCTGATACAGTGCCAGAAAATGAATCCCTCAGGTTGGAAGGCAGTTAGAGTACAACTGGGGAAGAGCCACCTCCTCAAAGTAGAGTTGACCTTGCTGACATGAATGGAGTAAAGCTTCATTTGCTCATGGGGCACAACTCAAAATGAGAAGAAACAGTGGCAAACATCCATTAATATTCTGAATGTGGAATGTATGACATATGAATCAAGTACAAACGCAAGTTGTCAGAATTGACATGGAATGCACGTCCTAGGCATTAGTGAGTTTACACGGACTGGTATTGACCATTTTGAATTGGACAATTGTGTGGTTTACTGTGCCAGGAATGACAAATTGAAAAGGAATGGCATCACATTTATTGTCGAAAAAAAATTTCAGGATCTCTCCTGAAGTACATGCTGTTAATGTGGCTATTATTCAAATTTACATGCCAACTTATAATGCCAAAGCTGAAGAAATTAAAAATTTTTACCAATTTCTTCAGTCTGACATTGATCCAACATACAATCAAAATTGGTAATTACTGGTGATTGGAATGCAAAGGTAGAAAACAAAGAAGGATGGATAGTTGGAAAATACGGTGTTGGTGAACAAAATGATGCCAGAGATTGCCTGATAGAATTTTGCAATACCATCAAGTTTCCACTGCAAATACTCTTCCCCAACAACTTAAGGTATAACACATTTATCTAACCAGATAGAGTACACAAGAGTCAAATTGACTGTTGTTGTTAGCTGCTGTCAAGTTGATTCCGACTCATAGTGACCCAGTATAGGGTTTCTGAGGAGCAGTTGGTGAGTTTGAAATTCTGACCTTGTGCCTCAAACCAACCTTATGGTCCAGTGCTTCTCCTACCTCACCACACCAGGACTAAATCTGTAGAAAGAGATGATGTAGAAGAAGCTCAGTGTAATTAATCGGAACAAAGCCAGAGGCTGACTGTGAAACAGATCATCAATTAATCATATGCAAATTAAAGTTAAAGCTACAGAAAATTAAGACAAGTCTGTGAGAACCAAAGTATAACCTTGAGGATATCCCACATGAATTTAGAGACCATCTCAAGAATAAATTTGACATACTGAACGCTAATGACTGAAGACCAGTCAAGCTGTGGGATGGCATCAAGGACAGCATACATAAAGAAAGCAAAAGACCATTAAAAAGACAGAAAAGAAAAAGGCAAAAAAAAGGATGTCAGAAGAGACTTGCTTTTGAATATATAGTACCTAATGTGAATGGTACTATATATTCAAGCGAACTGAAGAAAAAAGTCAGGCCTCGACTTTCATTATTGAAGGATTCTCTGGGCAAATTATTGAATGATGCAGAAAGCATCAAAAGAAGATGGAACGAATACGTAGAGTCACTGTACCAAAAGGAAATGGTTAATGTTCAACCGTTTCAAGAGGTAGCATATGATCAAGAGCCAATGATACTGAAGGAGGAAGTCCAAGGTGCATTGAAGGAATTGACAAAGAACAAGGCATCAGGAATTGATAGAATAAAAATTGAAATCTTTCAAGAAAGTGAGGCAGCACAGGAGGCACTCACTCATCTGTGCCAAGAAATTTGGAAGACAACTATCTGATTGGAAGAGATCTGTATTTGTGCCCATTCCAAAGAGAGGTGACCCAACGGAATGTAGTCCCAAACCAAATATATTAGGTTCCTCCTTTTAAGAAGTCTTTTGGCTTATGAAACAGGATTTACCTAAATGAAATGATTAATGAACTCAGGCATGTCTGTGAGAAGGGAGGGATATAGAAATAAGTAAAATAATAATTTGGGAAGTGAAGTCTCAGTTAGCTGGGTATTGAGTTAACTGTTGTCAGGTGTGAAAGAATACTGATGCTTGAGAATTGTTTGTTCCAGTTGAACCCAGAATTCTGAAACAGGTTTTGAAGTCAGGCTACATTAACCTATTTCATACCTTGAACACTTTGTTGAAAACCTTCTTGGTCACATTTCTACCTTACAAATAGCTTTTCCTTGCTCAATGGCAAGTTCCTTACAACAGAGAAAGAACCGTTTCCTTTCTTCTCAAGTTTACCTGCCAGTCCTACTATCGCCTTTTTGTTTCTCGCTGGTACCAGGAATTTATTTTTTCTCTTTTTAGAGAAAGAAACCAGCTCAGAAGTAGAATAGAGCATGAGTCAACCAGTAGAAAAGCATCCTGGTATCCTGTTCTAGGAGAAAAAAGGGCATTAGTTGGATGTTGTCTATAGCGGCTAGTGATTGTGAGACTTCCTTATAGTATTCATAAAATCATTAGAATTTTCTGCATATCTACTTTTATTTGAGAAAAAGATGAAAGGCTCTGATAGTATAATTTGTTACGTACTTCTCCACTGCCTGTAATTATGCTGTTGATGATGTAGCTATGAAATTAATAGACTTTTCTAGGAATAAATTAAGGAGACTTGGTGGTCCAGTGGTTTGAACCCACCAGTCCCTCCCTGAGAGAAAGATATGGCAAACTACTTCCATAAAGATTAGAGCCTTGGAAAGCCAGTGGGGAAGTTCTGTTCTGTCCTGTACGCTTGGTACAAATTGCAGTCAGTTCAATGGCAGTGTGTTTTTTAAACCCAGGAATATAATTGGTATCGTTTTTTTGAAACTGTCTTGACAGGAGTCTATAAGCTGACTTAGACATTCTACTTTGGGAGTCTGTTTGGAGTGCACAATTTTAATAATAATAATCACATTTTTAATTGTCAAATATTGGAAGCATTCTGATCTCCGGAAAAGGAGATCTCTTCAACAAGATCAGACAACTGACTGGCCAATTGTAAAATAAAAGTAATCTATTTAAATAATTAAATAGATTTTGGTACAAGCGTACAGTGAAAGTATTATTGGCATCTGAAGACTATTTCATGATGTGGGGCCGTACACATGCCATAATGTTAAATGACAAAAGCGGGGCTTCTAACTAAGGATAGTAGAACCCACAGTGACAGATGAAATACAAGTATTCTTTAATACCGTCAAAAAAAAAAAAAAGTGGGGCTTCTGATAAGAGTATGACCTCAGTAGTAAAACTGGATACTAGATTGAGGGCCTTAGAAGGAACACCAAAAAAAAGTGCTTCATTTGGAATTATAGTGATAGAATTATGGATGGTTTTTCTTTATAATCCCTTTAAATAACAAAAGTGCTTGGGTGCTGATTGAAAGGTTGCAGTCTATCCAGAGTACCTCACAAGAAAGGCCTGGCAATGTGCATCTGAAAAATCAGCCATGAAATACCGTTTGGAGCACAGTCTTATGACACCAGTGAGATCACCATGGATTGGGATAAACTCTGGCAACTGGTTTGCTTTTCTTTTTTGTTTGCTTATAATTATTTCAATTTTACATATTTTTTACAATGGCCTATGCGATTTAGGATAAGATAATCTGCTGTCAAGAAAGAAACAGTGCAAGGATTTTCTGTGAGTAGACATTTCTCTTATTATTGGTACTTTTGTGCTTTCCTTCCAGATCAACTGGGGAGACAGCAGTCACTGCATTTGAGATTGACAAGATGTACACTCCCCTGTTCTTTGCCAGAGTGAGAAGCTACACCGCTTCCTCAGAACGGCCCCTGTAGAGCCTCCCGTCCAGTCCTCTCACTGCTGCATGAGTCACAGTATAGAGCAAAAGAGCACCTAAGTTATAAATGTACATATAGATAGAAATATATATATATATATATATGGAATTGGAACTTATTTTAAATTGTTGAAGTTCTTTTAAGGAGACTACAAATTGATTATTTTTTTTATTTAAAGGGATCCTTCCTGGGGTGTTTTGTTTTGAATTAAGATTATAAATTGCTTAAGCACATTCATGTTGTGGAAGACCTTAGTATGAAGTGTAAATCATGTCCTTTTTCAAGCAGCTGTATGAGCAGACTTCTGTCGTGTAAGCCTGTCATCCTGTATTTAAATGCGTCAGGGAAGAGCCCCACTGAATAAGCGCTTATCTCACGCATGGTCCTGTGCACTCAAAGAGCAAAATGTGAAAACCTGTTCTGCATTTGTTTGAAACTATTTGGCCAATAAAGATCACAAATAAACAAATTGTTTCTTTCAAGAAAATACATTGGAGTGGATTTAAAAAACTGTTGGGACAGTTAATAAGCAGTGCTAGGGTAGCCAGTAAAGGCTTAATCCTGGCCTCCTCTCATCACTGGTCCTGACATGCAGCCTTACAGATCCACTGTAGATGCCTGCACTGTATGTACTGTAAACACCTGCCGCAGATCTCACTTAGGAATCCTGCAAATGGGTGACATGTGGAAGAATGAAGCCCTCAGGAATGGAACTCTTCAACAAGATCAGACAACTGACTGGCCAATTGTAAAATAAAAGTAAGAGAGTTTGTAAACCTCGGCCCAACTCTCGCTCCAGAATGAACCAGCCGTGGAGTTACCTTTTCTCTCTCTCTCTTTTTCTTTAAGTTTTCATTGTGAATTGAGTGATAGTTTACATGGGAGAACATCGGTTTTACACCACTGTTTTATTGCAATGATTACAATCTCCTCCATTCATCATCATTCAACAATATTTGTGTCTGTTTCCTCTGTTTTGTTTTTTTTGGGAATGTATACAAAAAGACTCAAGAATATATAATAATTTAAGCAACCAAAGGACACAATTCCACAAGCCTGCCTCCTAGCCACCAGCACTTAGTTCCTCTCTTTCTATGGATCTAGAATTCTTAGCTGCTCCCTTTCTCCATGTCACCATCTCTGCCTCCATCTCTGGTGTCACTGCTTCTCTGGATACTGTCACACATTCCATTTGTGCTCTTCTCCCTTGATGGTCCTAGGGTCCTCTGTTCTGGACTGTAAGATTAACTATTACCCCATTTTTGTTACAAAACTTCTTCTACCTTTACAGTTGTGACCGTCGCAATTAGTCATGGTAACAATTACTCACTATTGAATCATAAGAATCCCCATCTCTTTTCACCAGACCTGTCTAGACAAGATGAAAACTGTTCAGTGGGGACTCAACCTTCCCCCACACACTCTTAAACTCCCTCTTGCAAACTTGTAAGCCAGTTACTTCTTTCCTTTATCACCCCCTCATTTTAGGTAGCCAGTGTCTAAGTTGCCTGTCCCTATCTACCCTGTATAAAGAGGGAATAGATAGGATTTATATATGACGTAAAGACTCCTTCCCTCTCGGTATTTTGAGCTACTACCTCCATCAATATAGGTCAAGTTCATGAAATTGTATTTTCCTTTATAAATTTTTTTTTTTAAATCTTCCTCTAGTTGAATTCTGATTATCAAGCCATTGAGGCTAGGTCAAATGGGTACTATCTGAAAATTTGGGTGTTCTTGTGTGCCTCCTCTCACTTCATATCAGCTGGATGCTTCACTTTCAGCTCTAGTCCTCCATGGCTGTGTCCTTGTCCATGGGCTCAGATGTCCCCAGGTCTCACCACACTTGGGACCAACCAGCCTTTCCTTGTCTCTCTCTCTATCTCTTCTCCAAGTCAATGGGAGTCAATGGGCCATGGTTGTACTCGGCCTATTTCTTCATTGCTGCATTTCCTCTTCTTCCACTCACCAGTAGACCAATGTGGTCGTCAACAAGCTTACATGCCTGTTTCTGTGTTCCCTTTGAGTTTCAGTCTTGAAAGGGGGTTTGTCCTGAAGGCACTTGATTGCTAGCCTTGATGCTCTCCGGCAAACAACTTGCTTTTTCTTGTGGTAGCTAATCAGACTATCATTTTTGTTTTGGATTTTTCCCTGCTGATCTTTCTTTGAAGATGTATCTTCTGTTGCTCTAGCTGTTCCAGGCAGGTCTGCTTGTCCTTTCTAGTGGGAATGTCCCACCTCAGATGTTTCTGGATGGGGCTCAGGATTCCACCTAAGGTCCTCTACATTGTGAAGGCTCTGAAAGAGCCCTGTTTCCCGGGGCAAGTTCTAGATCCCCTTTTAGGTATTCCAATCAGTTAGAGGCTGAAGACGGGTTTACAAGCTTTCTGTAATAATGTTTCCCGATTTTCCTGTCTATCCCACTCAACTGTCTTAGTTTACAATAGTAGGCAAAGGAAACCAATATTCATAAGACAGTCAAGCATCTTAGCATGATTTCCCCTCTTCAGACTGTGCCTCCTCGGTCCCTGTATCACAGAGCCCTGTTGTTCCAAGATTGAGTATGCATCACTATTTACCTCTGTCCCATTTAGCCCATGCAGTTACTTTTTGTCTTAAAGAAGCTCTACCCTCCCTACTGGAGTCCTGGTGTGGCGCTGTGGATTAAGGTGCTCGAGTACAGTCAGTTTAAACTTCAGGGTGGGTGATTCAAGCTCACTGGCCCCTCATTGGAAACCTTATACAGGGTCATGATGCATCAGAACTGACTCGACAACACTTAACAACAACAATCCTTATAATGTTATTGTTGTGTCATCAAATCAGTTCCAACTCACAATGACCCTGTATAGGGTTTCTGAGGAGCAGTTGGTGAGTTTGAACTGCCAACCTTACAGTTAAAACCGACCTTGCTGTCTAATGTGTATCTTACAGCACCACACCAGGACTCCTTATTAACATTTGTTAAGTGACATTGAGTCAGTTCTGACTCGTAGTAATCCTGTATAGCACTTCCAAGGAGTGACTGGTGGGTTTGAACCACCGACCATATGGTTCAAATTGACCTTTCAGTCCAGCACATTATCCTGCGGAGTCACATTTCAGAGTGAAAAAAAACAAAAAAAAATCACACCCATGATCCCTCTCACAGCGTTCTACATCTCAACTGGGTTCACTAATTCATTGCAATGATCACACAGAACTCAAAACACCATACAGTTAACGGGGTTTGTTAGGGAAGTGAACAGGTTAAGGGTCAAAATTCCTCAGGGCACAGTTTTTTAATCAGGACAGCCTCTCCGCCATGACCACAGGCAGGCTTCCCGGGCCCTCAGCGCCATAGGTCTCTGCCCTACTCAGGCATTGGTAAAGTAAGGTCATTCTGGATTGATGATAAACGCACAAAGGATACTCTAGTCCACTGTAAGCCTCAGCCCAAAGGCACTCAGCTCTATTTAGCTCCATGGGTCAGTATCCTATCTATCCACAAGTGAGTTTCCTGCCCAAGGGCACCCTGATCTACTTACTCCGTGGACTGGGAAGCCCACAGCTCTGTCACGCTCTGGCTCTTGTGTCTGCTTCTGCTTTTCTGTCACAGCTTCAGTCCCTGGGTCTAGGAAGTTCATGCACAGGGATCTTGGAGCCCAAAGGACATGCTCCACTCCTGGCTCTTGGATGACAGTGAGAGTCCTCCTCTCGTTCATTGTATACTCATGTTAGGAGGTCCAAGTTTTCACAATCCTGTTAACAGTCACAACTGGATATAATCCATCAACATCTTCACCCACCTTCTCTTACCTGACCCATCAGGAAATAGTCATTTGGTGGGAATTACAGAATAGGTATGAAATAGTTACTTCACCACAATTTGTCTGGCAGACCTCTACCAAATCATTTGTTTTCGGTGATTCAAATGGAATTAAAAACACACACACACACACAACAAACCTGTTGAGTCCATTTTGACTCATAGGCCAGACCCTTTAGAAAGCGTGCACATGCTACTATGTGAAGAGATGAAAACTATACATCCAGTGCGTTTATACAGTTAGGTTGACAATTTGCAGCAATCTGAGAAATGAAGTTTTTCACATTGGAAATAAAGGAGAAAGAAGCAACAGATGAGACAGCTAATAATGGTATAACTATTTATGAAATACAAATTAATAATGCCTCTGGTTAGAATATAACAAAATGCAAAAATATGTGAAGCACCAACTATTCCTCCCATAACCTTCTTTACTCGTAAGTTGGGTTTGATAAACCATTGAAATGGCCTCATAGACACCATATTAACATTTATGGGGCATTATTAAGGAAGTAAACAGGTAAGTAATTCAGGGTCAGAAATGCTCAGGGCACAGCTGTTCCAATCAGCTGCTAATAAATGCCCATAGGACACACCACTCCACCATAAACCTCAGCCTGGAAGCTTTCAGCTCTGGCTCCGTGGGTCAGCACACCTAGCCCACCACGTCTTAAGTGCCTGGAGACACCCCCCTCTACAAACAAGCTGCCTGCCCAAAGTCCCTCAGCTTTACTTGTTCCGTGGTCTGGGACACCCACTGCTCGGCCTTAGGCTCTGACTCTTGGTTCTGTTGCTGTTTCTCTTCCATACCTTCAGTTTCATGACTTTCTGTCCCTGGGTGGAGGAGATTCAGTGCTCAGGGACCTCAGCTTCTAAAGGACATGTTCTGCTCCTGGTTTCTTCTTTGATGACAGTGAGATCCCCACCCCTCTCGCTTGTAAGATGGCTCATTTTAAACCTCTACTAGAGTTCCAAGTTTTTACAATTATAATGAACTCTGCTGACACCCACAGCTGAATCATGTCATCCTGTCAGGGTCTTCTCCCACCTTCTCTTACCCAGACCCAGCAGGGCAGAAATGATGTTTGGTGGGAGTTACAGAGTATGACTAGAAGAGACATTATTAGATGATTCACTACACCACACAAAATACAGTTAGAAAAGTATATTCCAAAGCTAGTGGAATTGG